ACGAAAAAACCCAAGATGCTTTTTGTTACGTCAGGAAGTATGGACGCCCTGACCTGTTTATTACATGCACTACAAATCCAAGGTGGTCTGAAATTCAAGAAAATCTAATGACGGGACAACTCCCGCAAGATAGGCACGATATTGTATCGCGAGTTTTCAATTTGAAACTGAAAAAATTAATGGATTTGCTCACGAAACAGAAAATATATGGCGAAGTTCGGTGCCATATGTATTCTGTCGAGTGGCAAAAACGAGGTTTACCTCATGCGCATATATTATTGTGGCTTAGAGAAAAACTTCGGCCGGAAAAAATTGACGCAATAATAAGTGCAGAGTTACCTAACCCCGACGAGGATCCATTATTGTTTGATATTGTGAAAGCAAATATGATACACGGGCCTTGCGGACTCTTGAATCCCGAGTCTCCGTGTATGAAAGATGGGAGGTGTAGCAAAGGTTACCCAAAACTTCTCATTGCTGACACTATTACGGGTGACGACGGCTACCCTAAATACAAGCGCCGAGATGTCATGAATGGAGGCTTTTCGACAGTAATTAAGGTAAGAAATCAAGTTATTGAAATTGACAACAGTTGGATCGTCCCGTACTCGCCAGTCCTATTAAGAATATTCGGGACTCATATTAATGTTGAGAGTTGCCAGAGTGTCAAATCTATAAAGTATCTTTGTAAATATGTCAATAAAGGAAGTGATAGGGCATGTTTTGCAGTGCAAAATAAAAATGATGAAGTAATGCTGTATCAAAGTGCTAGATACGTTAGTACCTCCGAGGCTATTTGGAGGATTTTTTCTTTTTCAATGCATAGTAGGTTTCCGCCGGTTATTCATTTATCCGTGCACTTAGAAAATTTCCAGAGGATTTATTTTTTACCAGAAACTGTTCAGAGCGTACTTGAGCATCCTCGGAACACGACTTTAATGGCGTTCTTTAAGCTTTGTCAATATGATAAGTTTTCAGAAACATTATTATACGAAAATGTCCCAGAATTTTACACTTTCGATAAACAATCAGGTTTGTTCAATCGAAGAAAAAAAGGGTCTCCTGTAGAGGGATGGGATGATGTTAAACGAGAGCATGTTATCGGCCGAGTTTACACGGTGCACCCCGCTAACAGAGAGTGCTATTACTTGCGCATGCTTTTGCACCATATTCGCGGCCCAACGTCATTCCAGGCATTGAGGACCGTTAACGGTGTTCAATATGAGACGTATCAGTCTGCGTGTAATGCACTCGGACTGTTAGAAGATGATTCAAATTGGGATCACACTCTCGCGGAGGCGAAGCTTTGTGATAGCCCGAGTCAAATGAGAAATCTTTTTTCCACGTTGTTAGTATTTTGTGGACTTTCTGATCCCATGTTTCTATGGAATAAGTATAAGGAAAGCCTTTCGGAGGACATAATGCATGGTCACCAAAGGCTTTTCAATAGCGCTGTTCCAATATTTAGCAGATGGGTCGAAAATGAGTGCCTGAAAAAATTAGAAGAAATTGTTTTATCAGTTGGAGGTCAGCCGTTGAGCAGCTATGGGTTACCATCTCCACAAAAAAGTGATGATATGGGTCTGAATCAGGAATATTTGCGTGAAATAAGTTACGATCAGAATGAAATGCAAAACATTGTCACAGAGAACCTAATAAAATTAACAGATGAACAGAGATCATTATACGATGAAATTCTTTTAAGCATAAATAATTCTTCCGGGGTAACATTTTTTCTAGATGCCCCAGGTGGAACAGGTAAAACTTTTCTAATTAACGTATTGTTAGCTAAATTACGAAGTGATGGTAACATCGCGTTGGCAGTTGCTTCTTCGGGTATAGCAGCTACTCTCCTGCCGGGGGGGAAAACAGCGCATTCTGCTTTTAAAATACCAATTGACCTCAATAGCACGGACACCCCAATGTGCAGTATAACGAAGAATTCAGGTAAAGCGTATCTGATGAGGAAATGCTCCTTTGTCGTATGGGATGAGAGCACAATGGCACATAAAAAGTCAGTGGAAGCAGTGGATAGGTCACTCCGTGATATCACTGGTGTCGACAGTCCTTTCGGTGGAATTACAATGTTGTTTTCAGGCGATTTCAGACAAACATTACCTGTTATTTCGCGAGGCACAAGAGCTGATGAGGTAAATGCATGTCTTAAGCGGTCTTACATTTGGCAATTTGTTCAGAAAAGATCCCTAACAATCAACATGAGGGTACATCAGTTAGGTGAAGAGAGTGACTCGAAAAAGTTTGCTGATATGCTATTGAATATAGGTAATGGTGATATTGGAGATGCCAACGGTATGATAGGCGTGTCAGACACTCTTGGTGTCGCAGTTAATTCAGTCGAGCACCTTATTGATGAGATTTACCCGAATATTGAATCATCAGACGCAATAAATAATTCTTGGCTCTGTGAACGAGCTATTTTAGCACCCACAAACGAAGAAGTAATGTGTATTAACGATGCCATCATCCAACGTTATCACGGTCAAGAATCTGTTTATAGCTCCATTGATACCGTCTGCGAGCAGGATGATGCCGTCCATTATCCAACTGAGTTTTTAAATTCTATTATTGCTCCTGGGCTCCCACCTCACAAACTTAAGCTTAAGTTGGGTGCACCTATCATGCTTTTAAGAAACTTAAATGCACCGAAACTTTGCAACGGAACGAGATTGCGTATTAAAGCTCTACATAAATATCTTATTGAGGCAATTATTTTAACAGGTTGTGGAAAAGGTGAGAGTGTCTTGATTCCGCGTATTCCGCTCATTCCATCTAACTACCCATTCCAATTCAAGCGCCTTCAATTCCCTATCACACTCTGCTACGCCATGACAATTAATAAGTCGCAAGGGCAAACATTAAGTATAGCTGGTATCAACTTACGGACCAACTGCTTCGCGCACGGGCAACTGTATGTTGCTTGCTCTCGAGTTAAAAGCAATAAACATTTATTTATATATGCTCCAGATAAAATTATAAAAAATGTTGTATATAAGGAGGCTTTGTGAGGTAATTTAATTGAGGTATTCAGCTGCATATTCAAAAGTTTCCCACATGTTTTGCCCGTCAAGCGTTACGTAATTATTAAAGAAGGATCCGGAGTTGCGTTACAAAGCGTTAAAAGGAGAGGAGGGGGGAGTCAGAATTGCCGACAAAGTGCGTTACGTAATTTATGAACACTTCCTCATCAGAAACGGTAACGCGTGGTAGAGCGCTTTTTCCATTTGTATATTTTCGTTATAAGAACGAAACATTTTAAAAGGATAAGAACAATATACTTTGAAAAGATATGATGGCCAAATGCATGAGATGCTTTTTTTTAATGTAACATTCGAAATTGTCTCTTTTCTTAAGTCCTAAACTTCTCTACTACTGGCGCCACCCGACGTATGATTGTAAGTCCTAAACTTCTCTACTACTGGCGCCACCCGACGTATGATTGTTTAAGTCTGTGGCTTTGGCCTGGTGTTGGCTGGAGTCCTGGAGGACGCCAGTGAGCTACTCCTACTGGCCAATACCAAGTGCGCAGGGCTT